CCAGGATTGACGACATTTTGACAAGGGTGCGGAAGGGAAAGATTTTCACAAAGCTGGACCTAAGGGGGGCGTACAACCTGGTACGAATAAGGAAGGGGGTGAATGGAAAACCACTATGTTCACCCCTTTAGGGGCATTTGAATATTTGGTTATGCCCTTCGGCCTACAAGCAGGCTCCGCAACATTTCAATCGTTTATGAACCACGTCCTGGGGCCTTTGCTTTACAAGAATTGTGTGGCCTTTTTAGACGACGTGTTGGTGTATTCTGAGAATGAGGAGCAGCATGTGAGAGACGTCAGAGAAGTGTTGAGCAGGCTGCAAGCCACCCAGCGGTGGGTGAAACTGGAGACGTGTCAGTTTCATACCAAGGAGGTGGACTTCCTGGGGTATCGCCTGTCAGACACGGGCTTGGCCATGGATCCCGGCAAGGTCCAGGCGGTGCTGGAATGGAAAACACCCAAAACAAGGAAGGATGTGCAGAGGTTCCTAGGATTTGGGAACTTCTATCGTAAGTTCATCCGAAACTTTGCCCACCTGACGGCGCCCATTACGGACTGTCTCAGCAGTAAGAAGAAGTTCGTTTGGACTGAGGAGGCGGAGCGAGCATTTGAGGAACTATAAAGGGCCTTCGCCTCGGAACAACAACTCCTGCATGTGGATTTACAAAAACCGATGAGAGTGGAAACTGACGCATCAGACAGAGCGATTGGGGCGGTGCTTCTGCAGCCAGGGAAGAAGGAGTCAGAGTGGAGACCGTGTGCCTTTTTTCGCGAAAGCTGAACAAATCCGAGAGGAACTACACGGTGTATGACCGAGAACTACTAGCCATTCATGAGGCGTTCCGGAGATGGAGGCACCTGCTAATTGGCGCACAACATAAGGTGCAAGTGTGCACTGACCACAAGAACCTAGAGTATTGGAGGACGGCACGAGTGCTCAACCAACGGCAAGTGAGATGGGCCCAGGAGTTCTCCAAATTTAACTTTGAGATTTGTTACGTGCCAGGCCCAGAGAACATTAGGGCGGACGCTCTCTCACGCAAACCTGAATATTTGGAGGGAGGGAGCACCCGAAGAGAGACATGTCATTCCAGAGGACCGCTGGGTGTGTGGGGCGGCATTGGTGGGACAAAGAGAACTGGTAGAGGAAACAGAGAATGATGAATACGCCCAGAATAAGCTCAGAGGTCTTAGGGGTGAGGGAGAGGAACCAGGGGTTTCGAGGAAAGAAATGGAGCTTTGTATTACAAAGGGGCACTGTATATCCCTGAAGGAGAGTTAAGGGGAGGGTACTCAAGCAGTTGCACGACAGCCCTACGGCGGGGCATTTTGGACAACACAAAACCATGTGGTTGGTCACCAGGGAATTTTGGTGGCCTAAGGTGAGGAAGATGTACGTGAGTATGTAAGAGGGTGCGAGCAATGCCAGCGAGCCAAAGGGAAAGGCGGGCGCCGGCGGGGCTACGAGCACCCTTACCAACCCCAGAACGACCTTGGGAGGCAGTGTCGATAGATTTTATGACTGATCTGCCGAAGTCCAAAGGGAAAACAGCCATCATGGTGGTGGTAGACCTACTAACAAAGATGTGCCACTTTGTAGCTTGCTCGCATGCAGTCACGGCGGAAGAGACAGCGAAGTTATTTGTAGAACACATTTTTAGGTTGCACGGGGTGCCATTGAGGGTGGTCTCAGACCGAGGAAAACAATTTACTTCCAGGTTCTGGAGGAAGCTCATGAGCTTACTGCAGGTGGAGGTCAATTTTTCGACTGCCCGGCACCCTGAAACCAACGGGCAGGCGGAAAGAGCAAACGGTGTCCTCCAGCAATACCTGAGGTGTTATGTCAATGACAGAGAGAATGACTGGGTAGAAAAGTTGGCGCTGGCGGAATTTGCCTACAACAATGCCGAGAATGTGTCCACAGGGATGAGCCCCTTCTTGGCTAATTATGGGTGTCATCCCAGGGCTTTCCCAGGGGGATTTGGGGAGAGATGGAGCGTCCCGGCAGCCGAGCATTTTGTGGAAGAAATGGAAGCAATCCATCGTCAGCTCCAACTCAACTTAGAAAGGGCGAAGGAAGAATACAAGAGGCAGGCAGACAAGAACCGAAGGGAAGGTGAAACCATAAGGGTGGGAGATAGGGTGTGGCTGTCAACCCAAGGGTTGCCGTTCAAAGGAGGTTGTAAGAAATTAAGACCCAGGAGGTTGGGTCCCTTTGAGGTCATTCAACAGGTCAACCCAGTGGCTTTCAGGCTCCGGTTACCCAACCACATGAAACTGCACCCAGTATTTCACAGGTCGTTACTGTCACCGTACGAAGGGGACGAGAAGGGATGGCCACTCGGGGACCGGTCATAGAAGAAAGAGAATGCAGCAGCCATGTGGCAGAAATCCTCGACGCCAGGTGGAAGGGGGATCAGGTGGAGTATTTGGTAGCGTGGGAAGGAGAACCGGAGTCAGAAAACACTTGGGTAATGGCCGAAGATATCAATGACGAGGTATTGATAGAAACGTTCCATCAAAGGTTCCCAAGGAAACCTCAGCCTGTGGAGAGGTTCCGGAGGGAATACTTTGGGACCACTGATGAGGGGAGGAGTTGGAAGGATTCCCGGACTCGGAAGGGGAAGGGAGATGGACTCTGAGGAGGAGGTGTACTTGAGACCAGGAACCGCAACAGGTGGAGAGAAGTGTTCGAGACATCGGAAGATGAAGGAAGTTCATTCCGGGGTTTTGCCTCCTCACCGCCCGTAGAGGAGGGGCGAGAGGGGGTGAAGGGGGCCCTGGAGGGGAGGTGGATGTCAGGGAACTGCCATCGGACGGAAGGGAGGTGAAAGGGCTCACACAGGTTGGGAGAGACTCAGCAGCTGAAGAGGGAACCAGCAGGGAGGTGAAAGGGCTCACACAGGTTGGGAGAGACTCAGCAGCTGAAGAGGGAACCAGCAGGGGAGAGGAGCTGAGCTGGAGGGATGGCTCAGAGACACTTCCAGCGAAAACAGTGGGGAGGTTTCAGGACCTCCTGTAAGAACACCCACTCCTCGCCGGAAACTGTCACGCAGAGAGTCCAGAAGACGTGTTTCCGTTAAGGAGCTTTTATGTTGGAAGCGATTACGAAAGCAACCACTGTCGGAATCTGCTAGTGACTAGAGGAGCCATGTCTGAGGGGCTCCGTCACAGACAGAGGTTTGTGGACTTGAACAAACTCTGAGGGGATACGATTTTACGCACAAGCAGCTCATCATCCCATCACAG